TTCCTGTAGCGATGCATTTGGATTTGCTGTGTATGAATCTGTTTCATTGAACAGGAACAAATAGGAAACAGAATATTGAAAATTGAATTTTTTTAAAGCATTAGTAATTTATATATTAGATTGACTAAAAAGAGTATATTCATGCATAACGTATAAATATGCGAAGTGAATACTTTTTGGCAATCACCTTTCTAGGATGATCATTTTTAAAAATAACCAGTACTGTTGATAAAATAAACACCGGTACGATCTATCTGCCTAAGGGAAAGGATGCCTTCGTGGAAGACTTTCTAAGGGAAATTGGCTCCTAGACACGTTACACAGGGTAAAACCACGAAAGCGCAACCAGTCCCTTCGCGGGATTCGAAACTCGGACCGAAATACTGGTGTTCAGCTACTTTACCGCTTCGTGCCTCATTTCAGAGCGGATTCGCTATATATGAAACAGAGTAATGTGCTGTTACCGTATTTAGCAGCCTGCCTTTTTCCTTGACCTACCATACCAAAAAAATAAAATAGCAAAATTATAACAGCGTCTCTAAAAAGATGCTTTGCTATATTCTCATTAAATCTTTATCATTCTGCGCTACTAAAAACGAAGTACGATTATTTCAAATTCAAAATTTTATAACATTACTTTACAGAAAGCGATCTCATGTCTTCTAAAAATAAAACCCAACATCTGTTTCTACTCAAGCGCTTACTTTCTAGACAAAGTAATTTCAGTGTAACGTACGTTCAGTTTTATCTAACTTTGAACGGAAAAAAAAAAAAAAAAAAAAAAAAAACTATGTACATAACAGGCAAAGATATTAACAGCACATAAATTTACTCAATTATATTGGATTACCAGAGGAGAAAAAAATAATTCGATGAGATAATTCTCTGAGAATTCATAAACGCTAAATTAAGAATAAATTTTATAAAATGTTTACTAATGAATACATGTATTTGCATAGTAAGTTTCCTTTTTTAAAAAATTTTTCATCTTTATCACGTTTATCGGAGTGTCGTATTTAACTTCACAATTATGCTCCGAAATTTCATTGCTGTAGATTGGATTATTACCAATATATAATTCTACTAGTAACCAGAGCCAGTATTAGAGGTTTTTGCTGCTCACTACAATATCTGTGGCTCTTACTTCTGCCACGCGCCGCCAGTGGCTGAGTGGTTAAGAATATTGATTACTGGAAGTTCGACCTGGTTTCGGTTCGATCCCAGGCGAACCAGCTGGCTGCATGGTTTGTTTTCCTGTTGTGCAACATGAATACGACCCAGTTTCCTTCAGCAATTAGGCTCACCCGCGGCCGAGCGGTTAAATCGCTGAACACTGGTAGTTCCGACCTGGGTTCGAATCAAGGCGAACGGGCTGGCTACATGGGCGTTTTCATAATCTTCCCCGTGTGTAACGTGTATGGGGAGCTTTGCTATAAACTAAACTAAGCCTTCAGAAACTTCCTCCACGAAAGCATCTGCTATCTGCCACCTCGTGGCTTTGCTATATTCAAAGAGCCTAACCCAATTCTAGCACTCAGTTCCTCTCTAAATTCTAGCGGGCGAGCGCTAAAGTCGCCTATTACTGGTAGTTCAACCTCGGCACATTATCTGAGTTCAGCTTTGAATGAAAACAACATAAAGTGTTATAATGAACGATTAGTTTAAAGATTTCACTTGATACTGAAATGCATAAAATCAAATTGCGTTTCTACATATCAGATTTATAAAGTACAGCTGATAATTGTAGGAATATCAGGTTCATAAAGAACAGTTGATAAATACATGAGAAGTGGGAAGGAATTCATAAATTACAGAATTTAATGGTTGTAACGAAAATTTTAAGCACGAACGTTCTTCATAAAGTTATGAAAAAAAAAAAGCAGTCAGTACCTTTAGTGCGGATAGTAATCACTACCAAAAATCTATGCTTTTCTGCCAATTTTTTGGTAGTTTTTCAAAACCTTCGGCTCGGAAACTTGGTGGCCCGAGTCCAAACACAGGTCAACCTCATTTCGGACGTCTTGTGCAGAAGTGAAGATAGGACCAGCAAGATGTAGCTGAAAGTCCGAACGTGCGATGTCGGGGTTATATGGTGGATGTGGTGAAAGATCCCTTTCGAGTCCGTACAGAGGCCTAGCCGGTGAATGCAGACACGTATGGTATTATCTTGATGGAACGTTACCTTTCTGCGCCGGAACTCAATTCGACTCTTTTCCTTGATAGCAGCGTCAACATGCACTAGCATCTCGTTGTATCCTTTACTGTCAAGGGTTTTACCTTTTTCCATATACTATTTGTGATTAATACCACGGCAATCCCACCAAATACAAAAGAATGATCTTTTTGTTAGTCAAATTACGCTTTACGATGCTGCCGACGGACTCACGGGCGCAGATCAACTAAATTTTTGGCCTATGTTGTTGAAATAAATTTATTTTTCAACACAAGTGACTATCCAGATCACCAGATCCAAAGCATGATCTTTTCGTTAGTCAAATTACGCTTTGCGACGCTGCCGACAGGCTCACCGGGCGCAGACCAGCTCCCTTTTCGACCTATATTGTTTGTGTAAACTTGTCTAACTTTGAAAGAAAAAAAAAAAAAAAAAACTATGTATATAACACTCGCAAAGATAATTACTTAAACGATTAAGAATAAATTTTATAAAATTTTACTAATAAATACAATAAAATAAATACCACGTTTATCGGAGTGTCGCATTTGACTTTACAATTAAGCTCCGAAATTTCCTTGCTGTAGATTGGATGATTACCAATATACTTACAATCCTACTAGTAACCAGGGCCACTATTAGGGATTTTTGCTACTCAGTACATTATCTGTGGCTCCTACCACACGCCACCAGTGGCCGAGTGGTTAAAACTACTGAATACTGGAAGTTCGAACTGGTTTGGGTTCGATGCCAGACGAATCAGCTGGTTGCATTGTTTGTTTTCACCGTGTGTAACATGAATACAAGCCAGTTCCCTTCAGCAATTAGGCCCTCCCGCGGTAGAGGAATTAAATCGCTGAACACTGGTAGTTTCGACCTGGATTCGAATCAAGGCTAACGGGCCGGCTGCATGGACGTTTTCATAATTTTCTGTATGTGTAACGTGTATGGGTTGTCAATTTCTCTAAGAAAGTTCAACATGAAGGCATCCTACTGTGCTTTGCCATAATAACCTAATCTAAGCCTTCAGAAAATGACTCCACGAAGGCCTGCCATCTTAAGAAGGTAACCCTCGTGGCTTTGCTACATTCAAAGAGCCTAACGCAGTTCTAGCAAGCGAGCCGCCGAACACTGGTAGTTCATCCGGAGTTCAAGCCTCGATAACGAGTTGGATGCATGACCGATTTTGGTGTTTTCCAAATTCACCTGCTTTGGCGTAATCAAACTCTATAATTCTAAACAAACTGACGTTCGGTTCGGCTCCAACGGCTCTAGCACCACGTTCCAAATTATAACTACAGTTCAACAAATAAATGTCTGGCGTATACATTCGAATAACCTAAGTAAAAAAAAAAAAGGGGGGGGCTTTTTAATTTCTTCCACAACCAAGCATGCATGCATGCACATAAAGCGAATAAAGAAAAACTTATGGAGTGCAATAGGGTTCTAATCCATAACATATTTAGTTAGTGATCGCCATCATTGGGAGCTATAAATATGCTATATTGACGGGAAGGAGAAAATTTTACTTCCTGAGTGAGCTAATTCAGAACTAGTCATTATTTTTCATCTGTCATCTTAAATTTAGGATGTCAAATTACGTGACTAACAAAAACCTAGTATTTATATGAAGCTTGATAAAAATCAAAGTTTTGAAGACGGTATATGTGATCATGTTCGGTTGATTACCATTATGATCAGCAAATAACAACAGCAATTTACTGATGTCTTTCTTATCTTTATATTCAGATGTAGTTTTCAGGGCAACTAGAGAAAATTTATTAATTACTTTTATTATTTTTGATACTTTATACGTACGAAGATACATACTTGTAGGAAGAGAGATATAAATATCATATTCGAACAAATAAAAACAAATCGTGACTTGAAGACCCTAGAGATACGGCTTCTGATTGCTTTTCAAATTTTTACCATATTAGTAACGATATAATCGAATAATCTTTCAAAGATTATTGTTTACCGATTTTAGGTAACAACTAGAAAACATTTTTTCGAACTTATCCTCAAACAAGTTTGCTATTGGTAATGAATACTGCTGTATCATGAATCAGGTACGGCGCTATGCATTTTGCTGACTTTGTACGCAATAAATTCTGTTGTCAAGTGCCCTTCCCACAAAATTCTAAAATTTTATTGCTTGATGCTTCGCTGAATTTTACAATTTTGCTGTACGTAAATTCTGCCGTACCGGCAGTGATCATGATTTCAAATTCCCCCTCCCCGAGATTTACTGTGTTATCTGAAAAACAGCTCACAAGTTGCTAAAAATAGCTATAAAACTGGTTCCACAGCTTTTAGCAACGGCCTCCCGTTGTGCGTTTGGAAACTCAGCTTTTGAAAGAAAAGGAAGGGGAATAATTTCTCTCTGACTACAGTATAGATGAGGTCCGTGACTTTGTTTGAGCTACTGCAGAATGTTCTGAAGTACACTTTTTTCTGTTTCGGCAACATTCATCTTGAGAATTCAACACTTGTTCATTAGCCCTTAGTAATTGACAGAAATGCTTTTAGAAAGTAGTGGGTTCATTGATACCAACAAAATGGTTGGTATCAATAAACTGGGGATACGTTAGTTTCAGTTGTTGGGTTCAAATGAACCTTTCAAATACTAAAAAAGTCCTTTTGCATAATCGAATCCTTTTGCATAAAGAATTTCATCTGAGAATAATTTTTCTACTTAAAAATGAGTTTTGCAGTACTTTTTAAATACTACTTGTATTTTTATTTTCGAAAATTTTCATAAATATTGTAATTAATTATTTCCAATTTTAATAACTCGCAGAAAAAACACAATTTTCAAGAAATTTTTTTTTATTATGGTTATTCAAACTTATACTAATATACAGCATCTTTTATATTCCTTATACATTTGACACTGCATGCTTCAACCTGCATGTAAGTTTCTCTTCCTTAGTAACTCCTGACCCAGAGACGTCTCAATGAAAGCCAAATCATGCACAAAATTTTCACCTGAAAAGAAAAAAAAAAAGAAAATGATAAAATATTTTTAACACCATATTCTCGACCCCCCCCCAAAAAAAAAGAAATTGCAAGAAATACAAATTTCTAACAGAAAAATGCATTTTCAAAGCAGCTGAAATTGTTTCACAAATTAATAATGCAGATAGCAAATGTAACATATGGCACTATTGCCACTCAGTGCAATCTCTGCATATCCTAAATTCTGCTGGCTGATGTCTTCGTAAGTTCTGAACATTTTTTTGCCTCTAAATTTTGCTGCTCAGTGCCCTCTGCTAAATTATAAAATTTTGACTACCACTGGTTGCACAGGCCCTGATCAAAGCAAAGAGGCAAGATGCTACCTGCTATTGATAAACTGCCTTATAAATACCACAAATCTAAATAAATATCAGTTTTATTTCCAAAACAGAATTATCTCACAGCTAAAGCATTGCCTTTGCAGAAAATCTTCTAAATGGAAATAGAATTGCATCCACATTACATGTGCAGAATCCCAATAATTCATTATAAACAGTTCCAAACCATAGTTAGGCTTAGAACTCACAACAGTATTCTTCTTGGAAGTCTTCCTAAGGAAATGGTAGTATATTCAGGGAACATGTGGGCAAAATCATGACAGTATATCACAAGCCTAATTCTTGACCATACATACTAGAAAGATCACAGAAATTCCTCACAGGAAGCTAGATTCATATAACAAAATTTCATGCAACATATGGCATATGGGAAAAAGCAAGGACATTATAATCACTAGCATAGTTTATACCCAAATGAGTTGCAGATGGTGCACTATGTGCTCACAGCTGATTATCACTAATGCAGATATATATTTACTAATATTTAGAAGATGATGAAGTATAGCAAAATATACAAAACATTAGTCCTTAAATCCAACACATTTTCTGATTTTCATACCATCTAGAATAATAGATTTGACGTTAGGTACAATATCAGAATTTTGGGTACATGAAATGTGAAATGGTTTTTTATTTTTAGTCACTGTTTCTAGTAATTTGTTCGAAAGTAACAAATAAGCTGGTTTCAGTCTGTCAATGAAATGTTAACTTGTCTGTCCTTAATTAAGACTCGGAAATATTTATCATATTTTTTCACCACAAAAAAATGGTCCCTCAATAAGCAAATTCAAGTGCCTTTTTCACACGATCAGTTCTCACAAACACATGAGAACATGATCTCAAGTCTTTATGCATAAATATTTTATGTTTGTTAGCAGTTGATAAACTGGTGCTGATCCATAAAAGACAGTAAATTTGTTACAAATGGTTCAGGTTTAGTTTTAGTGGTAGGTAGTCGAAAAACTCACATGGTAACCTTATTTGCATAAAATATACCATTTGAGCTACAGAGTGATTAGTATCAGGACATATTGCAACTCTGAATCCTAGAAGGATTTCTGTCCATCTGATGTTGCTGTGAGCCTTTATTGCATTTTTTTAAGTTCTGAGAAACTGCTCAATTTTCCCACTGCAATGTGGGTGGTATGGAGTGGAACGTAAAACTTTAGCACCACATACTTTTGCAAGGCTCTTGAAAGGCTGCGACTCAAACTGTCTTCCTTGATCTGAGATTATGGAACTAGGCACAACAAATCTGCTAATCCAATGATTGTAAAATGCTTTGACAACCATTTCTCTTGTGATATCTGGTAAAGAAACTACTTCTCCCTAACAGGAAAAATGGTCAATAAATGTCAGATAATACGTCCTACCAGCAGATGGTGGTAATGGCCCAATCAGGTCAACTTGCACAATACTTAATCTAGCATGAGGTGCTTGGAACTCGGCTATTTTAGATTTTGTATGCCTGTTGACTTTGCTTTGCTCCTTTGACAATTAACAGGACTTTAAGTCTATTCGTGAATTTCTTTCTTTATATTTGGAAAGATAAATTTTTCAGTCATCTCGTTGACAGTTGTCCTGATACCAGAGGAGCAAAATTATGAATTTGATGAAACATTTGTTGTCTAAATTGCTTTGAAATAAAAGGCCTGATACTGGTTGTTGAGCTGTCACATCTTAATGTTTTCCAAAATGCTAATGTAGATGATTTAAATTTCAGTGAAGCACTACCTGTCATTAAATGTTGCAATTCTTCATTATATTCTTGAGCATCTGCTACTGCTTCATAGCCAGTAACTGAGACTACTTCAACTGCAACTAAATTTTCTTTGGCATCAATATGCTGAATATCAGTTGAAAATTCCGATATATACTGAAGTTGGTGTTGTTGTCTGGGTTATGCCTTCCCATTCTTTTGCTTCTATGCATATGACAGTGGCTTGTGATCAGTAAGTATGATGAATTTGCGTCCTTCCGATACATGTTTAAAATGCTTGACAGAAAGATATATTCCTAAGAATTCTCTGTCATAGGTACTATAAACCTTCTGTGCATTATTTAATGTTTTAGAGTAGAACACAATAGGTTTTCAGTCTTGTTCTTGTTCTTCCAATTGCTGCAATACTGATCCTATAGGAAAGTCTGATGTATCTGCACACAAAGGGTAATCCATTGGGAAACACAAAAGGGCACCATTGACTAAATCAGATTTGCACTTCTCAAACTGGTGAATTCCTTCATCTGTGCAGGCCTACCAGCGGCAGAGCGGTAAAATCGCTGAACACTGGTAGTTCGGTCCGAGGTTCGAATCCCGCGAACGTACTGGCTGCATGGGCGTTTTCGTGGTTTTCCCCATGTGTAACGTGTATATGAGCCAGTTTCCCTTAGAAAGTCCTCCACGAAGGCATCCCTTCTCTTAGGCAGATAGCCCTAGTGTGCTTTGCCATAATTAAATACACTAAACACCTTCATCTGTGCATGGAACTTTACAATGATCTTTTTTTATCACCCTTTAACATTTCGTGTATGACTCCTTGAGTTTCTGCAGCATTTTTCAAAAAGCATCGATAAAATTTTATCATGCCCATAAATGAACAAAGCTCATGTATTGTCGGTAATTTACATTGCAGATTACTTCAACCTTTTCTGGCAGCGAACAGGAACCTTCTGTAGTTATGAGGTAACCCATAACTTATGTTTAATATGTAATACATAATGTAATATCCCACCACATTACCCATTTCCAATCCTCAGATGTCCAGTGTCTTTTCTCGACACCACTGAAAATGAAGTCTTGCATGTCGGCAGAACTGAGTGATTTCTTACAGGCACCAAAACTATGCATTCCTATCCCTCTGCAATTCGCTGCGCATAGTTCTAGCTGAAATTTGTTGGGAAGAGCCTTGGTTGACGATTTGTGATAGTTGAATCCGTGTTCTGCCGTACAATTCATCGGAGATACCGCCGATCACTGTCTTTGAAAACTATGCTCGAACTGCAGTTACATTTTTTAGAGAAGGATTCGAAATCGATGCCCCCACTAAATGTGCACCAACAATAAGCCCCTTTTTCAAATGGTGAACGATCTGCCGCCTTTTTTCCCCATTTTACTTCATTCATCATGAAAAGCACTCTTACACCTTACTTATACTGGCATTTTAACCAAGTATAATCCACATCATAGAAAAAATTTGGATATTTCATCCCTAGCATGCATTCAGATGAAAATCTGAAAGGTTTCTTATTGATTGGCCAGTGTGTGTATTATTATATTATGCAACATGAGGCAGCATTAACATGTGGAGCTGGGAAGGCTTCTAATGATCACCTTTCTCTCTTGTGAGAGCAGGATGCACTGAAATTTGATGTCCTTTATTTTTAGAATGGTTATGAGTTTTGTAGACAAGTGGATCATCCACGTTCAAGATATAAGCAATCATCTTTCCACAATACTCAATTTTGTATGTCTTCTTCTCAAATATCATTGTATGGATGTCCTTCCAGCTGAATCAGGAGCAGTGACTTTGTGGAGGTTTTCCTTGGAGAAATGGACTTATATTGGAGTTACACATGATTCAAACCAAAATACTTCTTTACCGCAAGTATTTAAGTTCAGAGGTGTAACATGTTGTGCAGAAAATATTCTCAACAAGTTATCAGCTATGGATCAAAGCACACAAGAATACTTAGAAACAGAAGTGCATGAGGAAACATTCAGAAAAGAGATGACTTTAATTTTTTCCAATGTTAGTGCAGCACAGGTGATGCTATTTTAAAAAAATTATTTATTGAATTATGACAGAGGTCATCAAACTTATTTTTCTTTTCACAGAAACTGTGACTTTATGGAAGTCTTCTTTGCATAAATGTAGTTTTACCAAAGTTACTGATGATTAAAACCAAAATATATGATTGCACGCATTATTTACACTGCAAAATATAACATGTGGTGCAGAAAATGTTCACAACAAGTTAGCAGCTATAAATGAAAGCACACAGGAATATTTAGAATGAGAAGTGGATGATGAAACATTCAGAAAAGAGATGCAATGGCAGTGCAGCACAGGAGATTCTAGCTTCAAGTATTGATTACAGAATTATGGCAGAATTGATCAGACGTATCTATTACTGAAAGCAGAGACTTTTTGAACATATTTTTTTTAGAGAAATGGGGTAATATTCTAATTAGGTATGGATTTAATCATAATGCTTTGTTGCAGGCATAGTTTTTATTCAGACGTAGAAAATGTTACGGTGTGTGGCTGGCTTGGCTTGTTACTGATTACAAATCAAAAATAATTTTTGGTTTCCTGATTCTTTTCTCTCCTGCATTCTTTCTAGGAGATGAAATAATTTTATCTGCTTCTGAAATTTCAATTTCTCTTTTTTCTTGTGTTTGTTTTACAGAAGCAGTGGCCTGTTTTTGTTTCTCATTCTGTGCTCTAGCATCAACAATATACTTCGGTTCTCTAAGAGACATTTTTCTTGGTGCTCTTGGATCAACAAGCTCAGGAAGAATACAATTCACGTAAAATTTTTCGAGTTTTGGAACTAAACTGATCCAGAAAGTTTTGTCTTCGGGTATTCTTAATGTGATTGCATCTTCTCTGCACCATATATATAAATCACACACCAATTCCTCTCTGTTATGGCTAACTGCCCTTGAATTTGAAAATAATATTTGTGGCTTTTCGGTAAATAAAGATTATTATCAGCATCCATCCGAAGACCAACAGAATTAGGCTTGCTGAAAAAGTCTGACAAGTCTGCTGAGAATCTGGCTGTATAAGGACATTTTATTTCAAGTAATCCATCTTCGTCTATCAATCCATCTGGCGAAGTACAAAGAAAGGGATATTTAGGATCAATAAAAAGGCCACAACGTCTGATGTTTTTTCCCATGTGCTTTTCCTTGTATTGATTTAAGGCTACTGCTTCGTTAGCCAAGCCATACTTTAATGCTTTAGTTGAAACGTTATCATTATATATGATACGTTTCACTAAAGCAGCACTGAGTGTTGTTGGACGCCTATCAGCAACATCTTTGAAAAAGGATGATGATATTCTTCTTGATCTTTCATGACGCCATCTTTCAGATGATGACTGTCCACGTGTTACGGCCTCAAGAGAATCTTTTTTTGGAACTTCAATTGATATAAAAAAATTTTTAGCTGCCAATTCATATGCTTCATCTGATAGGTCTGGTTTCTCAGGAAAATCACCATAAGAAATATCCCCACCTTGCTGAATATGTCCTGCTTTCCTCATATTTCTCTTTTTCTTCTCAGTGTCAAAAAGTCTACGTCTCTCAAGACGTTTTACATGGCGCTTATTTCTGGAAGCTAAGAATTTCAAAGTTGGAGTCCTGGGGCTACTTCCTGTTACAGCTTTTTGTGCATTTTTTTTGCCACTGCTGTGCTGGATTTTGATAGGCCATGACAGCAATACTCGCACGCCTGTTCATGCCACCAGCTTTGGAAAAATCAACTCTTTTTCCACCAGATGTTTTACACAGTTGACTCATGAAGCTTTCAGCAGGATTATTTGTGGCATTCCAAATAAGAGTACTGCTACACGATATCAGTACTCTTCCCACTTCTGCTTCAATAGCTTGCAACATACCCGAGGAAAAAATTTCATTGTATGTGCTGTCCAACTCTGCACCTTTCTTTGCACAAAAAGCACTACAAGCATCATGCTTGCCAAATATATGATGTGGCCCATTTCTCAAGTCAGATACTAATGCATCAATAGCTTCTTGTGTGTGCTGATAATGGCTAGGTAAAGCATGAGCTTTTATAGCTACTCTAGCACCTCTGACTAACAGTGGCATTTTAATTTTCAGCAATTTACGGGCAGCAATTCCTTTAGCCCCGGGGAAGCGCGCAGTATTTTGCTGAAGTTTCTCAAGAGCTCTGCGATATCTTCGAACAGCATGGTTAGCACATTCTACTTTGATCACCCGTCCTCCATATGAAACGCTTTCTTTCACTTTGGCCATTGTGTTAGCATCTCCATCTCCAACAAGTCGAGTACAACGTATTTTGTGAACACACTGGAGATAATTCAGACCTTCCACAATGGCACTGCTTTCCATACCTGTAGAAGGCCCATTCCAATTTCGCCAACAAAGGTGCACTTTATTTGGCATCTTGCCATCTTCAATAGCACTGCATATAAGGCACACTTTGTTGCGAATTCCAACAAACAAAATTTTCTGGGTGACCATGCCTATAATAACAGATATGCCACTTGAAGCATTGTAACCATGCCCATAGCTTCTTTTACACCAACCTCCATCAACAATGACAGTTATACAGTGATAACCATCATTATCTTTATCATTGCGAAGTTCTGCCTGCCTTTTCTCCTCTTCTATAGCAGCACACATAGTTTCCTGTGCACATCCCTGTATTATTTTGCCAGTAGTTCGCTCACAAGAAGCAAAGGTCGAGTTGCTCATATACGGAATTTCCATGATGCTAAACTTTTCCTCCTCTTGTGAAAATCCACTGCCAGTAGATAACGCACCTAATACTGCAAGCTGATTTAGGCTGCTTTTCTTTTCTCCATATCAGAACAAATTGTTGCCATTTCCCCACATAAAATTTTATCACATACATAGTTATATGTAGTGACAAGACCACGTCGAATCACTTTGTTAAAAATAAATGATCCTCCAAATTTACAATTTAGGGAATGTTGCTCTAATGTCCTAGCCTGCACTATTACAAAAGACATATTGCAAATTGTTCTGCCAGATGGTAATGGATTTGCCTTTCGTCGATCTTCCCTTTCGATAATTAAAGGTGAATCAGGACACAGAAATTCATCATTAAGGTTCTCCTGAAGAGGCTCAGACTCCAAGCTAAAATATATATATATATACAATATATATACATATATATAATTAATATATATAAATATTACAAATTAGGTTTAAATTTGGCTTATTTGATGACAGCAAAGCACTTGATCTTCCTAAGAGGAGGAATGCTTTCATGGAGGACTTTCTAAGGGAAATGGCTCATATACACGGGGAAAACCATGAAAACGCCCATGCAGGCAGCCCATTCGCAATTAGGTTTAGGAAATTTAGGCAACAGATAGCAAATAAATTAACAATAATAATACACTGGATTACCAGTATATTACTACAAGAAGATGAGTCATCTTCACAACTGCTGCTTCCATGCTCGCAGTGTCATTTGCTCGTGCAATATTAGTCACTACTTTGTGTGCCGGAGGTTTCACATGAAGGGCCTCTACACCTGAGTATAAAATGTTCGTGTTCCAGTAAACACTGAATTCAGAGGGGCAAGAATAACTCTTTCATGGTGGATAACTCAGTTACCAAATGGCTTTCTAAGGCTCTATTCAAGCCGTTGTATAAATGTCATAATTCCTAACAACGCTTTGTAGTCAGACCTTGCTATGTCACAAAAACTAGTTTGGGCATTAAGCTTGAAGTTTTCAACTTTGTGCCGACTTGATATAAGAGTCATATACATAAAACCTATTGAGAGAGAAAGCTGTAGACACATACATGCATGCACAAATTTAGCTTCTCTAATTGGCTATGGCTTAGACCCTCTCTCGCAGGTGTGAATGGAACTCCCACATTTTGTGCCTTATGATTATGCGTCTATGACATTTATACCATCATGTGAACGGAGCCTTAGGATGGCATACTAAGAAGATGCACTGTCTTGTGGGGATAAGCAATTTATACTCCTAAGCCTAAAAAAAAAACTTGGAAAAAAAAGATCACGACTTAAATTTGTTGTCTAATTGCTCTAATTTGAGGCACATTATGAGAGGAAAGCAAAGGTAGTAATCAGAATTATTTAAAAAATTTTATCCTTATATTTTTCTTAAAAATTCTGTAAAATAATAAAATTTGTGGTTTTCCTCAAATAAATATATATGGAAAAAATAACAGCCACATAATCACAGATTTCATTTTGTTATATTTTATTAACAAAATTTAAATTATTAAAAATCTCTTTCATGAAGGGAACATAAAACATCATGAAAACAATGAAAAAGAAGCAATATTTAAAAAAGATAGTAGGCTTATTGATGAGGCTCCCATCAAAAGAATCAAACCCCAAAATATTTTCATTTGCTTCAGTGTCCCGACTGAAAATTTCACTGATTTCAATGAATATATTTTTAAAAAAATCTTTTATTTTCAAGTTCTTTCATGCAAAACGTCCAAATTTGGTACAAATCAAATTCATCCCCCTCTTTTTGATAGCTACAATATTATATTTAACAGTTTTAATAGCTATCAGTATGTAAACAACATAATGTAACACCATAAAAGAAAAACATAAATGATGACATTTTAATTTTGGCATAGAGAAATACATATTTACCCCAAAAGAGAGCTTGTATTTCTACCTTCTACGTCAGAGTCAATAACTGAAATGTCCAGATCAGAACTGAGAAGAAAAGAACCATAATTAGTTTAATTAAGATACAATAACACACCGACCAAGTATTAATTTGAGAGTCAAGCAACAAAAATCAGCATCATATTTTGAAATATTCACTATTTGAAAATATAACGCTGATTTTGGTTGCTTGACTTCTAAATTAATACATAATTAGTTAACCATAATTAAGTAACTGTAATATCATGCACAGCTAATATCTATTTTAAAAATAAACCAACTTACCTCAGGAAAGCCTGGTTTGTCTTAGGAACATTAGCTGTAACTTCTGGCGTAGAAAAGTCAAATTTTTCACTTCCGGACCTAAGAATGAAAGAAATAAACTGCTATAACATAATTAAAAAAAAAAAAAAAAAAAAAAAACATGAATAAATAAATAACACATAACAAATTTAAGCATTAAGCTATGTATGACTACCACCCATCTCAGACAGTGCGACAGATATTGCTGTATACTGTTTCGCCATACCCTGTGTAGCTATTATATCATGCTGTATAACCACAGTTTAGAAAAATTACAAAATGTGTTATTTATATCTATCTAAAATGGTACATTACTACATGATTTGTAAGAATAAATTAGAGGGCTCTGCGAATGAAATTCCTTCCAATTAAAAAATGTAGGAATAAAGAAAATGCAGGAATTGCAAATGCAGAAATGAAAAAGGGGATTATATTTTTTGTACAGAATCCAGATGACATATTTTTCAACATTTTAGAAATTTCAATATTAATTTTAGGGGCATAAAATATTAGGCCCCTAAAAGCAGAATATAGTTTTTAAATGTTCAGATAATCTTCCTATGAGAAGAATTCCTTTGAGAAGTACACATCTGAACCACAATTAAAAAACATGTACAAGAACAGAGCTGAGGACTTCTGTTTGCAGAAAGTCTGTCACATAACATATGAAAAGTTTCTTATTGGTAGATTTTTGATCAGACGGATATTTTAATGTTATACAGAGAAAGCATTCACTCCCTTTATACTGGAGATAATTCAATTTGGACAATGGCAAAAAGGCTAAGCAAGCCTGAGCGTATTGGTCCCATTCTTGGCACTAGTTTGGTTTACGCTCAAAATACACAGCAGATATTTTCTAATTACCTGCATCCCAATATCAATTCAATTCAGCTTTTGGTGGAATTTAACATTTGTGACATATTTTTCAAAAACTACACTTCACAACATGCATACATGACAAATACACAGAACCATAAATAAACAAGCAATAATATATATTTATATATAAATTTTACTAAATGATCATAAAATGTTCCAACGCTAAAAGAAAGTTTTAACATCCAAGTAAATGACATAATAAAAAAAAGCAAGTTGAACAGCGAGCACATGAATAAATGTGCATACACCTGTTAAAATATACCATAGGTAACTGACAAAGCATTTCGTAGCAAACATATGACTATAAAATTTCCAATAATACATGTAATGATGGTGAATTCAATTTAGATCGCAAGAACATGCTCATACTTTTGAAAAGATTCAATTATTTCAGCAATTCCTTGTGAATTGGAATTTACCCTTTCAATATTTCCCAACAATTTAGTGTGAATGGAGGAATAAATTCTTATAACAGAATTGAACAATTATTAGCATCCCCTCATACACACACATACAAAAAAAAAAAAAAAAAAAAAAAAAAAACTTACTTTGTAAAAAAATCATCCGGGCAATGATTCTCCTTTGACACAGATGCAGTTGTATCAATAATTTCTGACCTTCAATAAAAAAAAATACGCATATTTTACTTCGGAATTAACTTACTACGAAATCATAAACACGGGGTAGTCGATATAAAGAATAAATTATTTCTCACCTTTCGAAAACATCCGCTTGTTCGGAATCTTCCACATCTCGGGAATTTAATTTCATATTTTTTTCTTGAGCTCGACGTTTACGCTGAATTCTGGATCTTTTATTAAAACCAGGATGTTTTTTCGGTCGTCCTTGATATTTTCGCATATTTTTTGCAAACTGACCACAGTACAAATAAATGTAAACAAAACGAGTGCGGAATAGCAATGCAATAGGGTTGCCGTAAACGTCATTCTGCTGACAGCTGACAATGTTTAGTGAAAACTGTGTATAAAGGAATATATGAAACGCTTCTAAATATTATTTAGAAAAAAATATGATTTATAACTGATATCAAAATCAATTACTTCGTGAATTTTTGCAGAAATAAGATTACAATGTTAAATTTTAACTCGTAGCGCCATCTATTGATGGCTTTCCAAACTACACATTAAAATTACGTATTTCAAACTAATTTTTTTAAAATATAATATTTAAGTAAATTTCATTTCAAACCTGATTCTAACATTGTGATTCGAAAACTGACCTATTGCTTTATATTTCTGCCAAATTGCACGCAACATAGTTTCTTAATTAGCGATTCTGCGTGTAAAAAAATTTTTAGTATTGTAATGCTGCTTGTAGACCAGTGTTGTTGTTTTTAGTTTATAGTGATACCGCTTTTTAAGTGTGATCAAACCAATTTTTCAAGCAACGATTACCATGACAAGCGTTGCACTTGAATTCGCCCCTAACGCAAAGTATTTTTTTATCGAAGGAACTGAAGTGATCTAATGATTTGTTTATGTGCACCTTTTCCCCTCCTTTCGTTGTTTTGGTACCGGTTTTGCAGGCGTTTCGGATATTGTATTTATTTATTAATTTTTTTTAAGAGTCTATCAGTCTAAACTCAATGTTCGTAATTATAACGATGCATCTGTACTTTTATTTGGTAACGAAGCAAAAAGAGAATATTATTTCTCCAATGGGTAAAATTTTTCTCATTTAATTTTTAAACTTTGAACGTTTAAAAAAAGTGCCTTTTTCTTATTTAGATACCGTAATATGTAATGTTATTGCAACTGGCTGAATTTCATTGTTTTCTTTTTCAAGTTATAACCTCTTATCTGTTAATTTTATTATAGCATTAATGAAAGAATTGTTAATAATTGATATTCAGATCAGTTTGTTTTCTGTATGAGAAATTTGTATTCAATTTATTACGAAAGTCATTTTTATACACTCTCATATTTTAAAATATAAAAGTTCTGATTTCTTTGAACACTACCTATTTATTTTTGCTATAAATTATAAAAGTTATTTCTTTGGTCCTTAAATATCTGCTTTTACTCATTTAATCTTGAAATTTTAAATTTATGCCGAAAATGTAACACTGTTGATCATTAGATTGTTTCTGCGCAGTTGCAGTTCATTATTATTTTTAATCCATAATATGAAACTGTTTATTTAATTCCATCAGCAAGCCCAGGAATTTTCTTACCCTTATATACATCCATTTTCATTTTTTTTTTTTTTTTTTTTTTGTGTGTGTGTGTGTGTGTGTGTGTGTTTTAGAAACTATAATCGTGATTATTTTACTATTAAAAAATCTGTTTTAATGTTATTCCTCATTTTTATATGTATACCAATGGCTGAGTGAATAAGACTACTAAAAACTAATCTTGAGTTCAGTTAGTGGTAAATGGACTACATTCAGTGGAGTTTGTTTAGTTTCATGAACATATGCAAATTTTCTTTAGAATGTTCTTGACAAAGGCCTAAGAATGATTGTCTGGATTCATAACCATTGAACCATCTTATTTTTATAGTGCCTAAAATAAATATAGAAGTTTTATGCTATTCAAAGTTTTACAAAAATTAACTTTTTTATTAGTATTAGTTTGTAAACTAAGCATTTCAAAACATACTGACATATAATCCTTCTTGAAAGGCAAAATATTTTTCTCCATGGTTTGGATACTTTTATTTCCTTGATAAAAAGTTATTTGTTATTTAACATAATTTTTTATCATATCACTATTGCATTTGTCATTCATTACCTTGCATAGTTTAGAAACATTACTGTAAAAATCCTAAGAATGATTTAGTCTGTTCTTGCATCTTAATGTATTTAGGTATCGTTTAATTGTCTCTTATCATTTCTTTGTTATCATACAAATCAGAAATGTGAAAATTAAGAATTTGAATGATTTCTAAATCTTAAAATTTCTAATCTAATAAAAAAATGTAGTGTAATTTTTCGTGCTGCTGCCTCTGAAAGTGAGCCGTATTTCTGAGAGCAGTATTCAACACCACTGAAAGTCATGTATTGTAAAGTAAACCAAAAAAGACCTCCACAGGAAGCTTAAATTATCAGATACTGTAGGTGGTTGTTTTACAAAGCTTTCAATGCAGTAAACATGTAAATTTTGGCCATAATATGATTATCACAAGACATAAATTTTTTCAGAATAAAACATCATGAATATTACTATATTCTGAAAAATATGCATTGAAACTCTAAATATGTTATATAGTTGTATTTTGTTTATCTAGTTATACTTAAAGCTGTCTATTTTCCCATTAGTTAAAATTATTAGGTGCAATTTATTTGAGATTGATTATGTGCAGAAGCAAAAAAACATTTGTTTATTTTATAAATTATTGCTTAAGAAGTTAGCTCTTAAGAATATCCCTGTATCATGAAAGTGTGTGTTACATGTATCTGTCAAATTAATATAGATGAAAGAAAATTGTAATGTATAGTAAGATTATTTTTGCTTTTTAGGTTCTGGTATTAGGCATTCATCCTTAGTTCTTTAATATGTGTCATATTAAAAGTTTGCAGTAAGATCAAATGAAACAACCAAGTGTCAGTTTACTGGACAAAATGCTGTACACTTATTTTCAGGTAAGAATTCTCTGCCATCTCTAAATTTCATATTTCATTTATATTAACCATTAGTTGTTTTTTTAATGTATGCAGTTTCAAAAATTAATTTATGATATTTAAATGTATATAATTTGGTTTGAATTGCCATTCATGGTGTACCTGCCATTCATAAAATAAAAAAGGTTTCAGGCAAATAGAAAACAAAAACTGGTAGATTACGGTATTTTGCCAACAGCTGTGTTACATGACTCAGCCACATTACAAAAGAAGTTTGTGAAAAAAAATTTACATACATTTTAGCTTTCTGCCATAAAAGTGAATATGTACACTTCACACAAAAAGAAATGGGATATTCTATATCTCCTGTTCTACCAGGCCTACTGATGAAATTTAACTTGCGTTTTTCATATCTCGAAAACAAACTTAAGCTATATTAAATTATGTAGCATTGTCCTAACATAGGTATTTTGACACACACAAAAAAAGAGTTTTTCTGAAATGACACACATTAGAATGAGACAAATTGAGACTTTTTTCAATTTTTTCCATATTTCGATTCTATGATTCAAATTATACCCAAATGGCGAGTTTTGTAAAAATTGCATGAGTAGTTATTAAAAAATTAGCTTTCAAAATTTTGGCTCCTTAATGTAAATACAATTTAGTATATATTTATTAATAGTCTTTTTTTTTTTTTTTTTTTTTTTTTTTTTTTTTTAACATTTTGAAAATTTAGCTTCAATCCAAATAATATTTGTAGATATTTGCTGATTTATTTTTAAAATTTATATTTTTTAGTAATTTTTATGCATTTTTGAAAAGAAAATTTGGATTAAAAATCTATAAAGTTTTTACGATTACCTTAAATTACAGGTATTTCTTGTCATACCTGCAAACAATTAGAGATTTTTGTTCAGAACTTCTCAAGATTTACATGAATTTATACATTGATGCACTTTGAAATTTGGCGTATTTATTATAAGCAATGATTATGTCAAAAAGGGTTTTTACACACTTTGTTAATTAAATGGTTTACACACAAAATTATTTGAAAGAATGAATGATGCACTTTTTTTTTTCCTGCTCATGCACAATGAAATACATTACTATAAATTAAGAATTTCGCCAAGCCAATAATTCTTGACACAAATTGAACATAAATGTATGAACATAAATTTTTGTTAGTTTCTCATCAAATTTTACAAAATTTAATATTTAAGCAGTCAATGCTACTAAAACTGATAAATTAGATTACATGACTGAGGAGAGTCCTGACAACTAAAAAAAAGTTGGACACATGAAAGCAGAAAAATAGGTATCATATATAGCAAATACAGTCTCACTGTATGCAAATAATAATATAGTACAAAGTCTGTAATCCGGACGTCCATTATCCGGACCTCAAAGCCACAAACTTTTTTTTTATGCTTTATGCATGCGCGTTTAGCACACACACACAAAAAAAAGCAACTTAACATTGAAAGAAATGTAAAGCATACAAGAAAAAAAAAAAAAAGTTTGTGGCTTTGAGGTCTGGATTATAGATCATTCTGGATAATGGACGTCTGGATTACAGACTTTGTAGTGTCTTATTATTTGCATGCAGTGAGACTGTATTTGCTATATATGATAGCTATTTCTCTGCTTTCATGTGTAAATAAAGTAAACAAATAAATATTAAGCTCTTTTTTTTTTTTTTTTTTTTTTTTTTTTTTTTTTTTTTTTTTTTTTTTTTGTAAATTTTGATACCTATTAGATCATAATTGCTCTTTACTTCATAAATTATGGTTTCATATTTTTAATTGTATAATTTCTGCATGCCATCTTAGCAGATTTAAACTGATAATCTATAATCCGGAAAAACCCTTAATCTGGAATTCTGAAGTCCCGACGAGTCCGGATTACGGACTTTGTACTGTAATAGACCTTTTAAAAATTATGGTGTTGTGCAAGACTATGTGTATGTTGAATTTTTGCAAACATTCCTGAATTAAAAAATTTCTGTTTGTGTATTTATATAACAAGATGAAATGTATAACTTGGATGCAGAATTAAAAATATGTTTTATGTACATTTTGCAATTTTTCTTTTGGCAGGGGATGCGTTAATGTTCCACTGAGAGAGTCTGAAAGCAATATACATAAATTTTGTGTGTAAATTATTTTATGCCATTACTTTTGTAAAGTCTGTTCTTATTTTGAATGTGATACAGTTGGGAGAAGCATACTGCTATGCAAATATGAATGTAAGAATATATTTACAGGTGCCCCTTCACTTAAATTGGCAATTTTTAGCAGTACATGGATACCGAGTTTGTGCAATTCTTTGGCTTTTGTGTAGCGGCGATTTTTGTGCCACTTAAAAAAAAAAAATCATAGAATTGCACAAACTTGGCATTGCACACTCCTTTGACTTTTTCCACGTACACATCTATTTTCACTTAAAAAGCCAAAGGAGTAGCCAGTTCTACGCTAGAGCCAAACTAAAGATATATAATCTCAATAAACTACATTTTAAATCAAACAATAAAAATAACATAAAAAGGAAATTTATCTTAGCACTACACGAAGGAAATATCCACTTGCCTTATTTAGAAATTTCCATGTCTACAGCTAAACAAAATTCCTTAACAGCATCCAAAAACTTTCTAAAATTATCTGAACTAGAATCTGCACATTGGCATCCCCATATAAATTCACAAAAATAACAGTAAAAAATATCCTCCGCAGATTTAAACTG